CTCATACCCGATCATTTTGCGGTCTGTTCGCCTGAATTGGTGAAATGTGATTGGTCTAAGAAGGAATTAGGATTTGTACGAAAGTAACTCCGCGTGACAGAAAAAAGGCCCAAAAAGAGGGTCACGCGAGACCCTAACTGTAGCGACAGACCCCTGAATTTTCGTCACAGAATTTTGCACACACACACACACACAACTTCGTGAAAGAACATGTAGAGAGTCGTATTGGCATTCGCATCAAGCGCATTGCGCATTTTTCGAGTTTTGGCCTCCTTCCAGGGACGTCTTTTAATTGGTCAGCCGGTTAGCGCGGTCGATGCTAATAATAAAAACACACACACACACACGCACACGGATGTTCGTTTGGTCCGCAGGTATTCCTAAAGCGCACTCAACAAACTACAACCGAGAAACACAAATTGGCGCATGGCCCATGCGCGTGTAGCTTTGGCATGCTTCTCGCTAAAGGGGTGGAGACGATTGCTGGGCGACGCCCACTTTTCCCGGAGCTTGGCGCCTCTTCACGCTGATACCGACGAAACTTGCATACAGCTCAGCCGGACGATGCCAACCAACAAGCACAAGCACACACCTGCATACCCCCGAATGGCTGCGAGCGGCCCTTCAGCACTCCCCCCCCCTCGTCCCAAACCCCAAGCTTTCCAAGAATCTCCACGGACGAGGGCGCGAGAGAATAAACTCGGGGGTCCGGGGAACCCCTGGCCAAGGCGGCCTCCAGGGATGGCGGGGGCCGAGCCTCGATCAGTCCCACCGCCGGCCGCCGCCGCCTTCGCCGCCGGCCGCCGTCGTTGCCACCACCGTCATCCTTGCCTGTGCTGAGGGGAGGCAAACCGCTCGTTGAGGGGGTGGTAGACGAGAGGTCTTTTGCGAGGCGACACGCCAGGGTGCAGCCTACGATGCCCCCACCGACGACGAGGACGTCGTGGTCATACTCCCACCTGGAGGATGCCAAGCAGGAGGCAGACAGGGAGAGGACTTAATCTCAACCTCATGGGACGGTGTGTTTAACGTAACGCTACAGATTTATACGGAGCACCAGAACCCGCGCGAGCCTTGCGCTGAGCTGAGCTGAGCTGACAATGATAATCGTGCTTGCCTACATAGATAGCGTCTAGCCTAGCCGGGCGTACTCTTTTTATATGCAGTTTCACCGCCATGTTGGTCGAGACAGGGCCTAGGTACGGTAGCGATCCGGCCCATTTCACTGGCACTATAGCGGGCAACCCGCATTATTCAGAGTATGAAACAACCGAATATTTCACAGGTCCGTTCTGTAGGGTACTGATACTTCTGTAGGGTACTGGGAGAGTTACAGAGCTGTTTGTGAAATCTCTGTAGGGTACTGGGCGAGTACCGAACGTTCTGTGAAATCTCTGTAGGGTACTGGG